ATATATTCTAGATTACAGTAAAGTATAGCCCCGGTGGCTGAATGATTAATGCGGCCACTCAGTAGCGCCTTGGCGTGGGAAACCAGGGCATGTGAGTTCGAAACCCGCAGGGGATACATTAAATTCAGAACCCAAGCACCTCAGGTTTCTAATAAATACAGAGATGTACAAATCACTCCAATAAAATTGCTCTATGTTCCTGGGCTGGGAAGTTATTATCGCATGTATTTAATTGTCACTTCTTTGTATTTCCTATGTTCTTATTATCTTGGCGTGGTCTCAACACCTGTATTTTCCTCCTGTATAATCAACACTTGGCCTGTATTTAACATCACGCAAGGACTCATCATAAGCTCCGCTTGCATATGAGTATAATGGAAGAATAATAATAATAATAACAGTAAAGTATAACATCATTTTTCAATTTTCTCAGTTTAAAGATTGAAAGCATCTCTTCTACTACTTTCACAAGATGCTTGTTATCTGACATCTTATCATTTTTCAAGTGAGAGATTATTATATTTACTTATTCTGATTTCTTGTATTCTCTCAGTATGTTTAATATGAACTTCTCTTATACTTAATTTATAGAACTCTCACTCATGAAATCAGATCTGTGACTGATTACATCAGATATCACAGTATCTGACCTCTTTCAGTATTTAATATTAAGATTGTACACTTGAAACTCTGAGATTCAACATACTAAGTATTTGAAAGGTTTTATCATTAATTATAGATAGATAAGACTTTTGTAATCTGTAATCACTGTTATTATATAGCTGTTGTTGATATATCTATTTCACAATATCAGTGTATATTTGATTGCTAGTAATTTCTTTTCATATACTGAATATTTGAGCTCAGCATCTGATAGTTTTTTATCATTATATATCACTGAGTGCAGCTTGCTGTTCTTACTCATCTGTAGAAGAGTATTTTTAATAGATTATTTAAATATGTTTATCTCAATGTAGAAAGATTTATCATAATCTGATTAAATAAGCACTGAGAATGTTATTATACATTTTCTCAGTGTGAGAAAAGTCTCTTCATACACAGTATTTCAGATAATTGACCGAAACTTCTTCTTCTGCTGATTAGCATTTATTTCTCTTAAGAGATCTGAGAGTGATGCAGCTATTCATGTAAAATTCTTGATAAATCTACAGTAATATGAAATCAACTCAAGAAACTGTTGTACATAATATATGTTTCTCAGCTATAATTAATTTACTATGACATTCAATTTCTCTGAGATAAGATATATACAGTCATCACTCAGTACATATTCTATAAACTCTAACTCTTTCATTTCAAACACATACTTTGTTAATTTAATATAGCGCTTATACTCTGTCAGAGTTGTAATGTAAGAAATCCTGCTTCTCACAGATTCTTTACCTCTATTTCTATCTCTTGCATAATTAATAGAGCTAGCGGCCCTTGGCTACACACAACTATATAGACTGGAGTTTGTGAATACTATTCATAACTCAGCTTGAATGCTATTATACATTTAACTTCTATATTTTATCTTTCTACTGTAAATACTTCTAGTAGTTAATAGTATATATCATGTCAAGCTGCAAACATCTGAATAATCATCTGTAAGCACTTATTCTTATATTTCAAGCTCAGTCAGTCAGCAACTGCTTATTATAACTGAAAGAACTAGAAACTTGTATATTTCAATCTTTGTAAACTCTACTGCAGACACTCAGAAGCAGTTATCTGAACTATGAATAGTCTTTATAAAAGAAGTCTCAGAGAACTTATTAATTACTCACAGAACATCATTCTCTGCATCTGTGACAGAGAAACTCTCTGAATTCATGAATAAATCAATCTCAGTAAAGAATATTCTTGAGCATCTCTTACAGAATCAAGCTATTTTTCTACAAGAAATACTTACTGTCTGTAAACACTCTCAAACTGAGTCTCTAGACATAATCTTCAGAGATACTCACAAACTGAAAAGAAACTTTCATAAGCTGTAATCACTTAAGATCACTTATCAAATCACAATCTATAAAAGCTTTTATAAGTTTGTATTTGAAATTGACTCACAAGCCTGACTATATGATATAAAAGATGAAGAAGCTGTCATCTATATAATAACAGGCCTCTATTACACTGAAGTCAAGAACTGGCTGAATTATTTAGAGAATAATTATAAGAGATTTTACTGATGTGTTCTCAAGATCTATCTAGAGAATAAGTTAAGAGACTCTGTGAGCTGAACAGAGAACATCTGAGCTGTGATTATCAATATTAGAAAAAGAGATGAGAAATCTGTTAAAGACTACTTACAGTACTTTATGAAATTATAATATGAATTAAGATCTGTGAAAACAGAGCTCTGAAACAAGACCTGAATAATGATGTTTATAAAGAGACTAGATAAAGATATGTAGAACAAGCTTATTGAGTAAGACTCTAAGTTCTTGACTCTGAAGAAACTGATGACTCTTATTCATCACTTACAAATCACTGTGAGAGTCACAGACTTACAGAGAGTGAATCACTGATCAGCTCTGTGAGAGTTAGAATAACAGAGAACAGATTTATCAGAAAAAGATGATAAGATATAGAGAGATTCATATCTGACTACTAAGCAGAGAGAGAGAGCTTTATAAGCTTCTGTAAATAGAGTGTATAACAGAGAGATTAAGAAAAAGAGACTCTGCTTTATCTATTTTAAATCAGAATATCTCTGTGCAAACTGTCTGAACAAATTAAAATAGAAATTTAAGAAGTCACAGACAGAGTCAGTAACAGCCTTCTTAAGAGTCTTAAAGCTGATATCTGAATCTGTTACTCTTTCAATGAAAATGCTTGCTTATGAAGAGAGACTGTATCACAGTACTGCTGCTCTGTAAGTATAAGAAGTATTAATGAACTCAGAATCTCAGATCACTATAGTATCTTTAAAGCTTATGAAGTGAATGAGCTAGAAGATGAAAACTGAGAACCTGCTCTTATAATAAGCAGAATATGAGAACTCAGACCTGAGAGCTGAGAGACTTATAAGAGTTATTTTTAAATTGCAAGATCTCTCTGAAATCTGAAGAAGATTTGCAGAAACTGTGATGATCACAGATATCACAGATAACATATACTTAAAACTTGTATAACTTCAAAGACACAATCTGCACATAGCTGTCTGTAAGTCAGGTTTATACTTCTGATTAGACTGACCGTGTGACCGTGTCTGAAACCAGGACCAAACTTTACAGTTGTCATGTTGTCTAAAAGCATTACTCCTGATCATGATTTGTGTTCATTACATTGATTTCAAATCACATTATTTCAAATATTAAAGATCTCAGATTCACTTTTCAAATAAAAATCTAGTCTTAAATAAAGAATATGTTTGAATTCTTAGTTACATTTTCATTCTGATCTCATTATTGAGAATGATATCAAATGAAATTATGAAATCACTTCTTACTTACATAATATTATAACATAGTACTCATTTATTGAAAATTCAACAGAGAGTGTTATCAAATATTATTACTTTTCTGAATACAGATCATAATTCATATAATTTTAATTATAAAAAAAATATAAAATACAAAAAAAAAAACAAAAAACAAAAAACAAAATAAAAACAAGAAAAAATCAGAATGAATAAAAAAAAAAAAAAAAAAGAGAAAGAAAAAAAAAAAAGAAAAGAAAAAGAAAAAAATAAAAAATAAAAATAAAAAAAATCAAGGTTGCAGAGCTGCAGTACTCTTAAAATACTCACTTCTCAGAGTCTTTACAATGTTCATTATTAACTGTGTATCTCTCACAGTGAGAGTAACACAGTCATGATGAGTTATTATCTTAATATTATCTAATAAATAATCAGTATATATCTGTATAAATGTGAATATTTAGAAAACATACACTTAAAAAGTGTGGCCAGGGTGAACTCTGCTATTACTTGAATGACATCAAGAACAGAACACTGAAATTAATGATTTCTCTCATTGATTTCATGAATAAGATGCGTGAAGATACTCTTAAGAAATATAAGATCTTCTAACTTCTGATAAAAACAGATCTCACAGAGAGACTCTATTTTCATTATATCAGAAACTGAGTGTTATTAAAAAGTGTTACTTTAATATACATGCACTTACTGCAGTGATTCATTCTCTGCATATATGACTGAGAATTGCAGCTTTCTCACACTACACAGCTCTCTCTGAGATGCTGGTGCCGGTTTGCAACTCATACAGTCTCTTAGTTCAGCATGTGCTGTGTGTATACAGCTCTGTGTGCTGAGGCTGTGTTAATCATTATAGTCTGATATGATACTCACTTTTCACAGACCATGTTTTATTTGAGAAGGGAAAGAAAAAGACACAACTGTGGTTTTATTGAGAAGAGATGAATAATTAGTAATATTAAATGTAATTTAATTCTTCTGTATTTAAAATTTGATTAGTCTATACTCTTCAATTTGAGAGTTTCTAGAAGTATTTTAATAGTTGTCATATCAGCTTGAATTTAGTAATAAGTTGAAGAAGAAGAGAAAAGAGAGAAGAAAGAAATGAGAATAACTTATCTTTATAATATAAAAACAGAGAATCACTGCAATCATTCTCTCTAGTAATAAAGATCTGTTTTCTGCATGTATCTCTGATATAGATTATATGATAACTGTATACAAAGAATATCAACACTGCATGCATTGAATGAAGATGATATTACTATACAATACTGTAGCTGTTTCTGTATATCTCTAAAAACTGTTAATATTTTCTTTGTCTCTTTATATTTGATAAGTCAGTAATATATTTCAATGCACTTTCTCTTTTATCATCATCATTATTATTATCATCATCACTATTATTATCATCATTACTATTATCATTATCATCAACATTATCACTATCATCATTATTATTATTATTATCACTATCATCATCATTATCATTATTATCATATTATTTCTGACTATCTCTTCTGTCTTCATCTCTCTTCAACACTCACTGAAACTAATCATGTTATTTCTCTTCAAATATTCTGCAGTTCTGCAGATCATCAAGGTGTGTGAGCACTGTCACAGATTGAAGAGAGAGAAGAAGAAGGTGTTCAAGCAAGAAGAGACTGATTACAAGGCATGTTATAATGCCTTGAAGAGACTCTGTAAGAGAGTAGAATAATAATGATTTTAAGTAATACTTTTGATAGATTTAGACTGAACTAAGTATAGAAATAATATGAATGACACTGTCTATGAGAGATTGAAGAAGAAGACAGTGAAGAGCTTTATACAGTAGTGATAAGATCAGAAGAAGTTCTGAGAATAATTTGAGTTTAAGATGAAGAGAGAGAGAGAGAAGAAGAGTATTACTGTAAATAAGCAGTAATAGAAGAAGATTGAGAGAGTGTTAAAGTAGAAGACAAAGAAGTCAAAACTGGTAAGTTTTTTATTTATTGAGAGATAATGATTTTTGATAACACTTCTGTTCTCTAATTGATTAGCAGAAGCTGATAGAGAAGAAGAGGATTAAGGCCTTGTTCAGGTCTCAAATGCACTTCATGATTCAGAATATTAAGGAGACAGTTCTGCTCTCTGAGCATGTCAATCTGCTTGCTGCTGAGATGGAACCCGAGACAGTAGATCAGAAAATGCGGGATTTTGAGATACAGGTTGACCTGGCTGAGAGAAAGCAGTGAGAACTCTTCTCTGAGAAGATAGTGAAGAGAGATTTTAAGATGATTATCATCTCAGATGAGAAGAAGAAGAAGAAGAAGAAGAAGAAGAAGAAGAAGAATGAGAAGTAAATTGTAGAGAATGATAAGAAAAATGAGAAAGAGAAGAAGTAGATTTTTTTCTTTTTATATTAGTTAGTTATAAGTTTAAGTTTTTAATTATTAATAATTAAAATTGATTTTAAGTTTTCAAAAATTATTGTACAAGTTGTAATCAAGTCAGGAATGATATATATATATATATATATTTAACTATCATGATTCACAAATCACTATAATGTATAAGTATCAACATTTTTTCAACATTGATATTCACAATATTAATATATTTTTAATGATATTATCTGATAATGTAATTTGATAACACTCTCTTTCACAATATTAATATATTTCAAGAAATATGACAGAGATTAATCAAGATTGTTTATTTACTTTTATACATCAATAATATTCAATCTGAGTTAGTACTAAAATTATAACTAAGCTAAGAAATAAGATTATTTTCTCTTATATTAATTCTTCTTACACACATCAGTGATCAGTTATTGAAAATAAATTATTATCTTTCTCAAATTATTATCATGTCTTCTGAATTCACTTCTTTCACTTCTTTTACTTCTATTGAAGATTCATAAACTCTTCAAGAAATCACTGTGAATTATAAAGTCTATGTTATTTACAATTCAACACAGAATGCTCTCTTTCAATCATGATAAATAATCACTTCATTTTTCACATCTGATTTCAGGTCATGAAATTTATGAAAAACTTAACACAAACACTGAGATAATCTATGAAATAATTATCAACAGATTATATTGCAGATTACCAAAGAGTTATCTCTCTACTGCAATCACTACAACTTCATTCAGAAACATTCATTATAAACTGATCATAGTTCTGAAGAAATTTCCTGACATCTGAAGTCATCAGAATGCAGATAATAAAAGAAAAATAATCAGAAAATTACTACTGAGCTGATAAGTTACTCTATCAGATAATGATTTTTGATAATACTAACTTTCTAATTTGAAGAAAATCATGTGAAAATGATCATGTATCAGTACTCTGATTTCACAACTCTCATCTGATAAGTTCTGTGAATAATTACTTTATATATATATATCTCTGAATCTTTCTCTTCAATTAATTGAAAACTCTGAATTCTAAACACTTCTTCAAATGCTTAATTCAAATCTTCATATTTCACATTGATTCTGTCTTCAGTTCAATCTTTGAGATACACTACAAAGTCAATATACAATATCTAGAATCAGAGTTGAAGAATCATTGAAGAGTGTCTCTCACAGTGAATGCATGAACTAGTACAAACAATCTTGCATTTATCAAAGTTACATGTTATTACATTGATAAGAACAGAACTTATCAAGAGACATTAATTGAATTTGAATCATTGATCAGTAGTCATACTGAGGATTATATGGCAGAGGTATTAATAACTGTGATTAAAAATGACTATTAAGATATTAGTCTCAGTCTTCTTATAATTACAACTGACAATGCTGCAAATAACTATACTATGATAAAGAGCTTGAAGCAAAAATTGACTTTGCATTTCTGAAATGATAAACAAGGTCATATTCTCTGCATTACTCATGTGGTTCAACTTGTGATACAAACACTGATAAAGAATCTTAACATTGAGATGAAGAATAATGAGATGACTGATTCTTGAAATGAGAATGAGATGAAAGTGATTACTCAAGTAACTTTTACATCTACTTTGTAAAAGATAATGTTTTTTGACAATACTTTTTAATATTGCTTTTTGATATTGCTTTTTGATAATGCTACTGTTAATTTTGAATAGATTAACTAATAATTTAAATATCACAGATTTGAAACATTGTTAATATGATTTGTATCTTCTCTAAACAATAACAATGATTCCATGATATTCAATAAATAAACAAATCAGTCACATCACTGAATATGATACAGAATATTAGAATATGATGAAGTTCAATATATAAGATGACTGTTCAGACTCTTTGATTGTATCAGATAATTAATCATTAAGTGCAACACTCTGATCAGAAAAAGATTCAGATATTGAAACTTTCTGATATGAAGTGAACTCAGTTGAAATATGTGATTGATGTACTGTTTCAGTTTTATAAGACAATAAAGACAGTCTCAATCACTTGTACACTAATGCTGCAGTCAGTCTGATGAGTGTATAACAGTTTATTTACTCATCTTGAGAAGCAGTTGAATCACTTAAAAAGAAATTCAGTCTGGGATGATGCTATAGTACAGGCTATTATTGCTGCAAGGGATAAACTGGTATATTACTACAGCAAAACTGAACAATCTTTTACAGAGTACTATACTGTAGCAGCTCTACTAGATTTCTTCTATTGAGTTAACATCTACACTTCTCAAGATTGAACAGAGGAGGAATGAGACTTATATATTAAATTAGTCTGAGACTACTACAATGCCAACTATCAGAGATTTGAATGAGCAGATCTTTGAGATGTGAAGACAGTGAAATACAATTCTCTAGTAAGTAATAATCTTTGATAATGCTTCATATCTCATAGAACTATAATACTAACTTTGAAACAGAACTTGCATACATTGATTACAACTGAAGATCAGGCAAAACTACATGCTTGTAAAACTGAATTTGATCACTATCTTCAAGATGATTCAACAAATTTACATGTCAAATCAATTCTAGAGTTATGAAAAATTGTTGAGAGTATATATTCAACTGTTGCACTGATGATGCATGATATTCTGATAATTTTATTGACAGAGGTGAGAATGAAGTGAAAGTTCAACTCAAGTTGAGATATTTGTTACTATCACTGAGAACAATTATAAGAAGAAACAATTAAGAAACTCATGATTGTAAAACATGAAATTATCAGATAATTTAATACCTCTGATCACAGTATATCAGAGAAGTGTAGTTTTCATGAGAAAGTGAAGAATAAACTTACACAAGAATGTATTTAGTTATTTCATGAGTGTTATCAATAATTGTTATCAAATTCTGATTATATAAGCAATCACTAGATGAATCAGATGAGACTGATTTTGATCTTCAGTCTCAGTCTTATTCTGATTTTAGAAGAATGATTATCTTTCACAGTTTATTCTGAGAAATTACTTTCATTTCACTGTTCTTGAATTAAATCTGGTCATTTTTCACGCCATTTCTCTCAGAAATGGTTCATTTTCAGATTTTTTCAAGACTTGGTCCTGATGGGACTCACGCCAAGAAATGTATGAGACCAGACCAAATGGGACCAAATGTGAAATTCATGGTCCCGCCGGCCAGTCTACTTCTGATCAGTGTTAATAGACTCACTTATAAAGATAGAATCAGTTAATGCTGTAGAGTTAATTAGAGAAGACAAGCTTATCTATATAATGACTTTGTAAGTGTCTGAGAATCTTGCAGTCATGAAAACTGAGCTTCAGATATTAGAGAAATATCAAGATCTCACAGAGATGTTTAGCTCAGTAAAGGCAGCTGAGCTTCTCTCTCACTGTGAGAAGAATCTGATAATAGATTTAATAGAAGAACAGAAACTCTTCTGAGAATCAATTTATAAGCTCTTTCATTACAAGACAGAGGTCTTACAGGTCTATATAAAGAAGAATCTAAAGAATAACTTTATCTGATCTTCACAGATCTTCACAGAAGTCTCTGTGATATTCATGAAGAAGAAGAATAAAGATCTCAGATTATGTGTAAACTACTACAATCTGAACTTCAAGATAATAAAGAGCTGCTATTCTCTGTCTCTGATTGAGAATGTAATCAACTGTCTCATGAGAGCTGTCATATTCATATAACTGAATGTAATCAATATATATACATAGCTGTGAATACAGTCTGAGAATGAATGAAAGACTGTCTTTAGAACTGCACTAAGATTGTTTGAATATCTAGTGATGTCTTTTAATCTGACTAATATTCTTACAGTATTTCAGTCTTTTATTAATAAAACACTTTACATATATCTGAATGTCTTTGTGATAATATATCTGAATAATGTGATAATGTACTCTGCAAAGAAGAAAGAACACACTTAGCATGTATGAAGTATGTTGAAAGTCTTAGATGAGACAGAACTATATATTAAGCTTATAAAGTGCCACTTCAGTGTCTGTCAGATTAATTTTCTAGAATATGTAATTATCACAGATGATATTCAGATGAAATCTTCACAGATTGAGATTATTCTATCATAATCAGAGTTAACTAGTATTTATAAGATTCAGATCTTTCTGAGCTTTGTGAATTTCTATAAACAGTTTATCTTTGTATTTATGAGAATCTTCTTGATTCTTACAGACATGCTGAAGAGTGAAAATAAGAAGAAGTCATTTCATAAATGAAGAATAAAAAGATTATTAAGAAGAGAGAACTGTGAGAACTTTCTTATCTCAGAAGCTTATAGAGTTTTTATAAGATTGAAACAGATATTTATAGATACAGTGATACTGTTTCACTTTAATCTCTTACTCTTAATCAGATTGAAGACAGATGTCTTCTTCTTTATAATTTCAGAAATAGTCTCATAACTACAGTTAAATGAGAACTGGGTTTCAGTGGCCTTTTTCTCATAAAAGATACAACTCACAGAGATCAACTATGACATTTATAATTAGAAGCTTCTTACAATAGTGAAATTCTTCTGTTACTAATATCACTACTTTGAGAACCTTGTAACAGTGATTACTGTTAGAACTGATTATAACAGCTTATAACAGTTTACTTTAATCAAGAAACTCTTACAGTGATAGATTTACTGAGCTCAGAGACTGAGTGAGTTCTGATTCAAGATAGAACATATCAAGAAAACTAAGAACTCAGTGAACAGACTCTCTTACAGATCAGACTATATTAAGAAGGTCAGAATAACAGATATAGAGAGACTAGAGAAGACAGAAAAGCTTTATAAGATGCTTAAACTGAGTGT